TTGGAACTAGGACCCAGGACTATCCCATCCAAGATTGGTGGTCCAGATGCTGGCAGAATGTGAAGCTTACACTTCAGCTTCTGAAGAAAACCCTTCCAATACACAATCCACATACAGAGGAGTCCTTGCCCAAGGGAAAGTTTATTGGCACCATAGCTTCACACCACTTCCCAAATTATCTGAGAAAGGACTTTGTGGCCCTCCCATAGATCAGTGATTTCAACCTCTGGAAGAGTCCCTGCCTTTGCCCACTTCTCCTTCCTACCAATTCTCTGCTCTGTGGGGGGCTCAAGCAGGGTATCCAACCACCCTGCTCTCCCCCCCCCCCAGGCCCACTCGCACATCCCTTACCAAAGAGAAGCCTCCACTGAAGGTGAACTCCTGCACTCAATGCCATCCTCCTCTGCTTCTTTCCAGGGCAGGCAGGTTTCATTTAACCCCTGCAAGGGAAAAGCTCTTGGTCCTGTTGTGTCTAAGGAGCCTAGTCCCTGGGCTGCTGCTGCTGCCACTAGGCTGCCCAATGCTGCATGTACTCTTCACTGGTGCTGTGGCTGCCTCTGCTTTGACTCTGGACTTATTTCCAGATAGTTCTTGCTGATACCCTACTGGTAACCCTGTGGCTCTTAGGAACCCCCAACCCTAGAGGGAGGAAACCTCTGCTCTGTGTAACCAGAAGCAAAGTTAGACATTTTTAAATCAACAGGTTCAGATAGCTTGCCTCCAAGAGCTTTAAAAGACCTGGTTGAGGAGCTTGCTGATCTGTTAATACTGAAGAGGACAGGTCACTGAGACAGAGCAAATTGGGTCACTTCGTACACTGGGTGCAAGCAAATAATGTGTGTTTTAATATAGCAAAGTGTAAAGGTATACATCTAGGAACAACAAATGTAGGCCATACTCACAGGATTGGAGGACTCTATCCTGGAAGCAGTGACTCTGAAAAAGATTTGGGGGTCATGGTGGATAATCAGCTGAACATGAGCTCCCAGTTTGGAGCTGTGGCCAAAAAAGCTAATGCTATGCTGAGATGCATAAACAGGGGAATATCAAGTATGAGTAGAGAGGTTATTTTACCTCTATATTAGGCACAGGTGCAACTGCTGCTGGATTACTGTATCCAGTTCCGGTGCTCACAATTTAAGAAGGATGATGACAAATTGGAGATGGTTCAGAAAAGAACCAAAAGAATGACTAAAGGATTAGAAAACATGCCTTAGGCTACGTCTTCACTACGGGGATGGGGGAGTCGATTTAAGATACGCAAATTCAGCTACGCAAATAGCGTAGCTGAATTCAACGTATCCGAGCCGACTTACCCTGCTGTGAGGACAGCAGCAAATCGACCTCCGTGGCTCCCCCGTCGACGGCGCTTACTCCTACCTGCGCTGGTGGAGTACAAGCGTCAATTCGGGGATCGATTGTCACGTCCCGACGAGACGCAATAATTCGATCCCCGAGAGATCAATTTCTACCCGCCGATTCAGGCGGGTAGTGAAGACGTAGCCTAAGGCTAAGTTATTGATTCAAGGAGCTCCATCTATTTAGCTTAAGAAGAGAAGGTTAAAGGGCTCTTCAGTCTAGCAGACAAAGGTATAACACAATTCAATGGCTGGAAGTTGAAGCTACACAAATTCGGACTGGAAATGAGGTGCACATTTTTAACAGTGAGGGTAATTAACCATTGGAACAATTTACCAAGGGTCGCAGTGGATTCTCCATCATGGGCAATTTTTAAATCAAGATTGGATGTTTTTTTCTAAAAGATACACTCTTAGTGATTATTTTGGGGGACCTTCTATGGCCTGTGTTATACAGGTCAGAATAGATGGTCACAATGGTCCCTGCTGGCATTGGAAGCTATAAATCTATGCTGAAATGGAAATCATGGGATAATATCAGACAGCACTGTGAAGAGGGCAGTATGTATGCATAGACAGGCTGACAGACAACTTCAAAAGCTGAAGTTCAAGTGCCGGTATTTCCTACATAAAATCACAATCACCCTTCCCTTTGGTGCCAATATTCTATAGCCTGATGTACATGCATATGCATGTGTACAATGCTGATTTGCCTGAGATCTGGATATACTCAAGTGCAAGTGTTTCCACTTGCCTGATGTATACAGTATCCAGGGAGAGGTTGAGGTAAGGTATGCTATTGACTGCTAATTGTACATTTTCTTTCTTTTGCTATTTATGTCAGATCCTTGTTTGATTAATTAACAGTTTCTCTGTGAGTTTCTCCCTCCTTTTTTATTTTAAAATTATTTATAATATATGCTACTTTAGATGCTTTGGGTTACTCCTGCAAAGATTTGTGTACTTTTAAAACCCAGAAGTAACTGCTCACCTTTCAGTACAAGTACGTGTACTGTTTGAAGGATAATGCCATGGTTCCATCTTTTACTGTAGTACTGCTTCTGAAAGATGGCACTGAGAACTATCATTACAAACACTTGCTCTTCCGTGCCGTATGATAGTTTTTCGAGTCTTTAGATCATTTACAAGGGAGGCATCAAAGTCTGGTGCACAGGCCACTAGTCAGGGAGTCCAGAGACCTGAATTATATTGTCAGCTCTATTTTCGACTCACTTTCAATAAGTCACTTGGGATAAAATTTCTAAGTGTCCACCAAACTTGGTTATCTCCTTTTTGGATGCCTAGTTCAAAATAGTTGGGGAACTGCAGCTGATAAGTATACCTGAAAATCAGGCCTTCGGTGTCTTCTCAAGCAGAACACCCTACGGGGTCCTCAGTTTTGTTTTTCCCCCTCTTCTGTAAATTAGGGATAATGAAACTTAATCACTTTTGGGTAGCACTGCAATCCACAAATGAAAACTGTTATGCAACGCTAAGTAGTAGTAATAGGAATGATGGACCATATTATTGTAACTAATATTTGAGAGGGTTCTTGTAACTAGACATGGATATAAGGTAATAAAGAATTGATTTAAACTATTTTTTTAACTTTTGTGTTACACGTCTCAAAACCTTACATAATTGGAAGTGTGGTATTAAATGCTGCCCTGACGGAATGGTTGAACTAATTACACTTTTAAATACTGAATGAAGAGTTAAATGACAAAATGAAAATTCAGATGAAATATCCACAGTACAAGTTAATCTAATGGCAGTGGGTGACAAGTTAATTCAGATAGCAGGGTCATTCATATAACAGTGGGAGTCATATTAGTTAATCACCTGCTATACTTGAGGGAAGAAAGTGGGGAGGATCATATGACAGAAGGCAAAAAATAGAAGAGATCATGGAGGGAAGGGAGAATTAAAATGAAAGGAAACATGCTGGGGGACTTGGGAAGGGAAAGTACCAATTGGAGAGGGAGACCTAGGAGGTAGAACAGCATGGAAGGGAATACAGTGAGAAGAAGGAATGGTCAAAATTAGGGGGGAAAGAATCAGAGTGAAGATCTCTAAGAGAGAAAGGAATGTAACCTTGGAGGAGAGAAAGGCACAGAAAAAAGAAAGAGGATAGATTCATAGATTATAAGGCCAGAAGGGACAATTGTGATCATCTAGTCTGACCTCCTGTATAACACAGGTCATAGGACTTCCCTGAATAATTCCTCTTTGAACTAGAGCATATCTTTTAGAAAAACATCCAATCTTGATTTAAGAATAGACAATTTTTGCTAAGTTGTTCCAATGGTTAATTACTACGCTCACTGTTAAAAATGTGTACCTTATTTCAAGTCTGAATTTGTCTAGCTTCAACATCCAGCCATTGGATTTCATTAAACCTTTGTCTGCTAGATTGAAGAGGCTATTTTAGAATGTTTGTTCCCCATGTAAGTGCTTACAAACTGTGATGCCTTAACCACCTTCTCTGATAAGCTAAATAGATTGAGTTCCTGGAATCTATCACTATAAGGCATGTTTTCTAATCCTTTAGTCATTCTCATGACTCTTCTCAGTCTCCAATTTATCAACATCCTTCTTGAATTGTGGACACCAGAACAAAAACAGTAATCCAATAGCAGTTGCACCAGTGTCAAACGCAGAGATGGTAATAGAGCCTCCCAACTCCTAGTTGATATTCCCATGTTTATACATCCAAAGATTTCATTAGTCCTGTTGGCCACACCATTAAACCCGAAACTCATGTTTAGCTGATTATTCAGCAAAATCTGAACATCTTTTTCAGGGTCACTGCTTCCACCCCCATCCTTCCACCCACCACCCATATGTAGGAGCAAACAATACAGGCCTGTAAGTGTGGCCCATATTGTTTGCTCCTACATACATATCTTTACATTTGACTATATTAAAATGCTTAGTTTTTGTGCCCAGAAATATAGAAGAAAGGTGCAAAAGGAGGAAAGAGAGAATAAAAATATTTGGAAGTATAATACACATTTTTGATATAAGTATCTTTTTCAGGAGCTTAGCCATAGAAAACAAAATCAGTAACAGAAACTGATTGTGTAAAGGGCAGCAGTACTTCACATATTTGCATTTCAAAAACAAAAAAATCTGGAATAGATATATGTTGACTTTTTTCAGATTCTTTTTCTAGCGTCTGTCAGACACACACACCCCAGCCCTATTACTGTGTACGTCCAAAGCTTTAAATACAATAACGCAGACATCACCTGTTCTCAAGCATGCTTCACTTGTTATGGAGAAAAAAGGTACCAAAATGCCAGAGAAACAGAACACACATTTGATGAATAACCTCAGGCTTTCAGTGAGCCTTCTGGGATACATATTTAGACAAACAAAGGCTAGATGGTGTATAACGCTTAATAGGGCATGTTTAAGTGATATTTAGTATGATCAACACCACTTGTGCTATGTTTTTTCAAATGTATTATGGAAAAATCTTAAACTTGACAGGGTAAGACAGAGTTAGAAATAGATCATGTTATGCTGATATAAAAGTGCATACAACAGTACAATTATAAGGAGATTATTCATTCTTTTCTTAAAGTTCCAACTACACAGACAGATACACAGATGTTCAAGTTAATAAACAGTGATTACCTCAAGGCAGCAGTTTTTCCATTTTTGTGAGTACATGTAACCTGCCGGGTCTGATATCCAATCTGTATGTCCCAATATTTGTTCTCTTGTCTGTTCTGTCTATTTCGATTCCTCTTTTTCTTAATAAGCTCCCGAGCTTCAGGATCCCGTACTCCTTTTTCTCTGTCCTTCTCCTTTTCTTTGTTCTTCCCTCGTTTCCTTGCTTGCCTTATATGTCTTGAGTGGGGCATTGAGCATGTACTCCAGGATCCCACATTCAGGCTGTGCAAGCTTTCCTCAGTAGTACATGGGGTAGAGTGACAGATCTGAAATTCAGTCAGGTTAGGGCAAGCAGAGCCACCAAACTGAGGTGGAGCAACAATGTGACGAGTTCGATGCTGAAGTCCATTGCCACAAGTCTTGGAACATTCTGACCAGGGGGAGAACTCTGCCACAATACAGTCCTGGCGGCAAGGGATGAGGCATGCCTGTTCCAGGCGTGGCTTTGGTTCAAAGTACTCGCATATGACATCCTCAGCAGAAACCCCATTTGATTTTTGGACACAAGTTACATCTCTCATCTGGATTCCTTCTTCTCCTTTGGTGCATTCCACTGGTTTTTCAAGATTCCTTGAAATAACTGGCTGACACTGATTCCAGTTGCCTAACTGCCAATCATACAGTTCTTTGTGCCAGTCACAAACCCTGAAACAGTTCTGTTGGTTCTCAGGCCTCTCTATCTGTTTACAATTTGTGGGCAGTGTTGTCCATCCTTCCACATGAGCACACCATACTGCCCGTGTTTGGATACCACCTGGACCACATTCATCTCCCATACATCTTCCCCATGGACCTAGGAAACAAGATGAAAGCCACTGTCATATTTTACATTTAATTACTGCTTAAGTATTAACCTCAAGATACAGCGAGAAAGCACAAGAATCAAGAGTGTATTCTTTCCCGATAGCCCTACAAAGTAGGATCTTCGTATGATCTGTGGGAAAGAAAAGTTATTGATTTTCACCTATTACAGAGTACAATCTCAGACAGCCTATATAACAGAACAAGTGAGGGACTATCCATCTGTTTTCTGGTCTTTTTTGTGATTATAAATGGATTTTACTACATAGTTTTCTTTTTATGTTGAGTAATTAAAATATTTATGCTCCTGGAGTTCATCAGGGATTGATCACATCAGAATTAAGACATTATACAATTCATTTGTCAAGATTTGTTTTGCCAGGAAAATGGGAGAAAGGCTTCCCCACGATATGTGTAAATAATCTCAGCTCCACCTACAGGCAAACTCTTCTGGAGATCAGATTTTGGTTTTCTGTCTAGCTTTTCCAATGCAACCCAACTTCATAGTCACATGCTACATAGACATAGTTCTCATTTTTCTAAATTGTGTCAAATAAAGAGAATAATATAAAAAAAAAATCTGAAAAACAGTGGTCATTGCAGGTGATGTGAGACCTATTTTGCCAACTTTTAAATCCTCCCCATACTACTAAAAAATAAAGGAATCAGACTAAGTAAGCCAGTGTTTCTCAAACTGGGGCCGCCGCTTGTGTAGGGAAAGCCCCTGGCGGGCCGGGCCGGTTTGTTTACCTGCTCCGTCCGCAGGTCCCTCGGTCTGTGCCACTTCCAGCAGCCCCCATTGGCCTGGAGCGGCGAACCGCGGCCAGTGGGAGCCGCGATCGGCCGGACCTGCGGACCGGGCAGGTAAACAAACTGGCCTGGCCCGCCAGGGGCTTTCCCTACACAAGCGGCAGTTCCAGTTTGAGAAACACTGAAGTAAGCCTTTGTTCTGAGTAACTCATGAAGAGTCCTAGTGAAATATATATTCAGAGATGAAGTCTTACCAGTTCATGGAAATTTACAGAATGATAGAAATAAGTGATGAAAAAGAGATACTAGGTCTACAATGGGCATACTTGTTTACACTAATAACAAAACCATTAGAATTATCATGGATTTGAAAGCTTACAATGTAAACAGTTGCTGTGGTTTTAAAAAAAAAAGCACAATATTCAACAGGGCAAATTCACAAAAATCCACAAGTTACATAAAGGGAGGACTGTCGTGTTTATTATGAAAGCTACTGCCTGTTATTTTCCTGAGTTTTGACAAATTGATCAAAAGTGAAAAGATGCCATTTCTGTCTGCCGAAATTGCAAATCTGAATTAAGGATGAAATGTTATGATATTCAGGTATATAAAATCTCAGCTCTGACGTTATTGTTACAGTCACAAAATGAAAGTCAGACTTCTTGCATAGGTGTCTTGCTAAAAAAGTATGAAATACGCACAAGATTATATTACAACTAAAAAATAAACCTGTGCTGAATTTATTAACCTGTTCTCTATTAAATCATTCATGCCCATTGGATGAGCAAAGAAAGAAAATAAAATCCAGCTAACTTTCTGTTGAAAAGCTGAAAAAATACTGACCTTAGTGTGCATTTACTTATATTCTCAGAAGTTCTCCTATGTACTCAGTAAAACATTGTTTTTAATTTTTGGTTTAACTCCACTGTGGAAGAGGAGAAAGTCAGGCTGTGTAGCAAAATTACAATCACAATTTCTCCATAGTACAAATATCCACCACCAAACACAGATCTTATAAAACCAAATGGCTATCTAAAAAGTCCTTTCTTTGACAGAGAAGTTCCAGTGTCCATGCACACAATGGAGGCCAGACAATGCAATCCTTATTTATCTGAATGACCCCACTGATCATAATGGGAATATTTGCATGAGTAGAGTTATAGGATTTGCAAGGTTGAGCCCTTGTGACAGTGATAAAGAATTTTAAACATTTTTTTTCATTTAGTGACTGGCAGGAGTTTGGAGACCTCCTATCACTGACTCCCACAGACTTCAAAAACTTCCATTGGGAATGTCGCCTGTGACTCTAACATTAACTTCAGTGGGAGTGTTGGAAGCAGACTTATGGTAAGATATGGCACTTAGTCTCTGTAGCCCTTGCTAGTGTACTTTTGAACAGACTCTTGATTACAATACACTGCACTGTAGTTGAACAGTTTGCTTATGGATATTAAAACCTGAGCATTACATATATGATAGCAATGCCAGCTGGCAGACAGATTCAGCACATGAAAACTCCTGTACTGTTTTCTGCAGATTAAGTTTGAATTAGGGTTTCCAAGGTTTAGCTAGATACCCAGAAAAATAAATGTATGTTTTAAGTACAAATACATTTCTGTTCCCATTTCAGTAAGATTACCCTAGTTTATCTCTAACCAGCCTTCCACAAATGACATAATCATCGTTGTATTCATTTTATTCTAAGTATATTTACACTGAGCACAAAGCGATTGCATTTCCTCAGAAAATTGCATGGAGTTCTATTTAAGAACACCAACCAAGTCTAAAGGAAAAGAATAAAAACCAACTAAAGCAAGGATAGTAATATAATCACAACTGAACATAAAGCTAACTCATTCAACTTGCAGACTGGAAACTCCTGTCTTATCACATTACTGCACCTTGTATATACCATACGTATCCAATTAAGAGAGACTCTTTTAAAGATCAGATCTTTGTCACTAAACTCCAGATGAAGGGTGAAATAATCAAGTATTCAAGAGAGAGTGCACCATATCTAAAAATTGTTCTGAACAGCTGAGCATTGCTGGCCCAAATAAATCTCATGTTCATACTAATCTAAATGCTAAAAATTGTAGTTAGGACATTAAATGCAAACTGCAGTAATGTAAATGTGAAAAATGGTAAAAATGCTGTATTAGAAGGTGATAAATGGGCTCTGCATTTATCTGTGGAACGGTATGAACTAACTCCACAATTTTAGCTGCACCTTCTAGCACTGCTATGCTGTCAATGGTTTTAACGCAGCCATAAAATCTGCTGTTGGATAAAAGATGACACAAAAGGAGTTAGAATAAAAGAATATTAAAACAAAACAAAAACACAGAATACCTCGTCTATTTTTAAAAGTTCTAAGTTTAGAAGACAAATGGAAAATTTATTAGTTCTGGGTTTTTTTGGGTTTTTTTGGTTTTTTTTGAGGGGGGGGTATAAAATTGAAAATGGCTTCCTCTTAAAAATGAATATTTGAAAGTTTTAACTTCATCAAGTGGCTGAGAACCAAAGGGACTACTCATATACATCAAGTGAAGTGCAGCACAATGTTTGCAGGACTGGGACCCTTGTAAATTTCATCTCCTAAACATTCAACTGCATGGGCCAGTATTCCTACAAGCTTTCATGAGAATGTATTAATTTGGCTAAGGAAAAAATGTTGTAATTTGTTGCAAATGAATTGTATCTCAGGGCAACTGCCCTCAAAACTTCCTAAATCTGTAAATATCCACTACAAGAAGTTTCACTAATTTTCTTGTGGGTGAAATGATGACTTTTCACTCATGTTTATCTACCTATCAATCTTATGCCTTCATTATGTCTGAAGTACAAAATCTCAATGGAAGGGGAGAGAGAAGAATCATATGAACAAAAATTATGAATCAGGCCCTCCAAATCATGAGATTTAAAAATAATAAATTCGGGTCTCTGGTTTATAAGCCTTTAAAATTCACATTTACAAGCTTTACTCTACAACCATGAGAGCTCGATATATAGTATTTTTATTACTTTTTTTTTAAATTACTGGCTCATATACCATTATGATCATTGAGTCTGACCTCCTGCACATTGCAGGCCACAGAACCTCGCCCACACACTCCTGTAATACACCCATAACCTCTGGCTGAGTTACAGAAGTCCTCAAATCATGATTTAAAGACTGCATATTATAGAGAATCCACCATTTACACTAGTTTAAACCTGCAAGTGACTCATGCTCTATGCTGCAGAGGAAGATGAAAAAAACCCAGAGTCTCTGCAAATCTGAACTGGGGAAAATTCCCTGCCAACCCCAAATATGGTGATCAGTTAAACCCTGAGCATGTGGGCAAGACCCTCCAGCCAGACACCTGGGAAAAAATTATCTGTAGTATCTCAGAGCCCTCCCCATCTACTGTACCATCACAGGACATTGGAGATATTTGCTAGCAGTCGCAGCCTGGCCACATGCCATTGTAAGCAGTCCCATCATACTATCCTCTCCATAAACTTATCAAGCTCAGTCTTGAAGCCACTTAGGTTTCTTTGCATCCCACTGCTCCCCTTGGAAGGACTGTTCCAGAACTTCACTCCTCTGATGGTTAGAAAGCTTCATCTAATTTCAAGAATAAACTTGTCGATGGCCAGTTTATAGCCCTTTGTTCTTGTGTCCACATAGGTGCTTAACTTAAATAACTCCTCTCCCGCCCTCGAATCATAGAATCATAGACTACCAGGGTTGGAAGGGACCTCAGGAGGTCATCTAGTCCAACCCCCTGCTCAAAGCAGGACCAATCCCCAACTAAATCATCCCTCTGATGTATTTATAGAGCACAATCATATCCCTTCAGCCTTCTTTTGGTTAGGCTAAACAGGCCAAGCTCCTTGAAGTCTCCTCCCACAAGGTAGGTTTTCCATTCCTCAGATCATCCTAGTAATTTCCAGTTTGAATTCATCTTTCTTAAACAATGGAGACCAGAATTCCACACAGTATTCCAGATGAGATCTGACCAATGCCTTGTATAAAAATACTCATACTTCCCTGTCTCTATTGGAAATACCTCACCTGATGCATCCTAGGGTTGTGTTAGCCTTTTTCACAGACACATCACGTTGGCGGCTCATAATCATCCTGTGATCAACCAAAACACCCAGAGAGCTTCTCCAGGAACAAGGGCTTTAAAGAAAAACACCAAATATCACAAAACACATGCTAAAATCATTAAACTGGCAACACTACTTGCCATT